TCTCTCTCTCTCTCTCTCTCTCTCTCTCTTCCTTCGTCGTCGTTGTGTCTTCTTGTAGGTTCAGTGGCTTTGGCCGCTACTCAATAACTCAGCGCAGCGATCTCCAATCTTCGATCCGTCGGGTGCGTTCTTCTTCCCGGCGCGCAGCAGCAACGAGCGTGCGAGCGTGCACCAGGCAACTAACGGGTGGTACGGCCAAAGCGCGCGATAGCATTCTAGCGTGCCGCAGCAATGCGCAACAGCAGCAGGCAGCAGCGCGCAGCAAGCAAGAGCGCATAATAGCGGGTCGCGCAGCAATCGGCGGGGTGCGCGCGATTTCCAGCAGCGCGTGGCAGCAGCGGGGCATACACACTTCCTGGCAGTGCGCGGCGAGGTGGGTGTGCAACTAAGGCGTGCGATAGTGGGCAGCGGGGTGCAGCTAATGAGTGGGGGAACTTCACGCGCAGTCCGGCAGCAAAGCTCGCGGAGGTAGCAATTAGCAGCGCGCGATACTCAGCCGCACGCGGTAGCAGCGTGTGCTTGCGGACTTTGCGCTCACGGACGCTGACGTGGCGCCTTAGCGCCCTTTTCCCCCTCTCTCTCTGATGCGGCGGGAAGCAGGCGTCTCTCCCCCTTGGCGCGCAATCACTAACGTGGCGTCCTGGCGCGCTCCTCTTTCCTTCCCTACGACGGCGGCGACGGTGCTGACATAGCGGCCCCCCCTCTTCTCGACGCCGAAGCTGACGCGGAGCTTCCTCTGTTTCCCTTCATGGCGATGACGAGGCACACTGCTCCTTCAGCGGGCTTCTCCTTTCGTCAGCGCACGGCGGTGATGTTGACGACGACATCGGGATAGTGGGAACCAGCTCCGAAACCAATGCAATCAGACTTGTCTTTCTCGACTCTCAGCATGCACACAAACGTATGACAATCAAGCTGGCGACTTGCGCCCACACAAAGCTCAGAGTTAACGTAGCCAAGAGCGCAGTTCAGATTCAAACTTGTCTCGTACGGCTATGACCGTACACCACACTCCCAGCAACTGGTTCGTACACACACCCTGGATCTCCCTGGATGTCCCGCACACACACACACACACACACACACACACACTTCACACGTACGAACACACACACACACACACAATAACACTCCAATCCTTGCTGATGTGGCGGCTATGGCCGCCGTCTCTCTCCTCTACTAACTAGCTATCGGATATGGCCGATCTTCGTCCTTTAGCCCTCTTCGTCTACGAGCACCTGCAGACCTTCGTACACAAGACACTTCGACAGCGCTTCCGCACGGCTCACAGGCAGAATGAAACAATGATTTGACGTTGTCTCTTTATTTATACTTCGGATTGTCAAAGGTCTGCCCTTGGACCCTGGTCCCGGGCCGCACACAGTCCCACATTGTACTTGCTGACTTGACAAAGTGTGACCGGGACTGGGTACCGCTGACTGGGCAGGGTTAGTCCTCCCACTAGCCCACTTGCGTACGGATTGCATCCCAGACTCACGAAGGGCCAGTTCCGGACCTTCCGAAAGACTGTGGACTTGACCCTTCGTTACTGTAGCAGCCACGACTTGACCTTTCAACATTGTAGCAACTACGGCTCCTACCACTGCTAAGACCTCTAATCTACAGACCTACGGTTCAAGACCCAACGACCACACTACCTACAGCAACAAACCGGTGACTTTCAAGACACAAGTCGCGGGTTCAAGCTCACACGGGTCATAATATCGTACACGGGTGAGGGCGAGGTCTAGGGATCGAGCCCTGGGAACTGCATCTGGTCACAAGGGTGAAAATCGTTTCGGTGCGGTTATTGACAATAAATTCAGGTGAGCAATTAATTGGCAGTGACAGTTGTCTACAAATAAGGCAAAATTAATTAGCCTAGGTAGATAGCTGATCAATTTCACGATAGAGCACACTCAGTATGTCCTACAGCTAATCAAAAAAGCAATTGGAAGTGCTGAAAAAGGAAAACACAACAGTGCGGTGATTGACAATAAATCCAGGTGAGCAATTAACCGGCATCTACTTCTTGACGTTCACCGGATGGCCAGACCCCAAGAAAAATTATTTATAGTCGCAAAGAGGACGAGTAGGCCACCACGCTATCTGCGTCTATTGCACAAGCTGAAACTGACATGTCTGTGCATGCATGCATGATCTAGTCCCACATCATGTGCTTCTTCCAATCCGGGCCCTTTTTTGCACAGCCCTTCTCCCACCAGCTTGCACTAGAAGAAGGCAGCCTCTCAAGGTAGTACTCGCTCGCAACTCATGAAGAGAGGACTCGCAAGTGAAGCGCTTCTTCCTCACGGTAAGAAAAATAATGGAAAGGTAGATAGGGTTAGAGACACTTACTAGATCATTCAGCCCCCAATCACGAGATAATCTCGACAACTTATGATGCTCTGTTTGATGATCGGTCATGCTTCGGGCCCCACCAACATAAGTACGCCATGCCACCCTCAGCAAGGACAAGCATCAATATACTATCACCACACTGCCAAGTGATTCGTACAACATCCAACCCTACGTCCTTGATACTGATGCAGGAGATCACTCTCTACAGAGTCTCCAGCCTCCAAGAGTATCCACTGACACCATTTGTCCTGCCTCGCCAACGTAGGTGGGCCAGTCAGGGAACCAGGCTCCGATACCAAATTGCAAAGACCCAAGCAATGAGAAAGCAATTTTTCTGTTGCACCGAAAGTGAAAAAGCAGAACAAGCATAAGAGCAGTGTTGCATACCCCGACGGTCAGCAGCCCTTGACTGGTTTTAGGGGTATGGGGGTATTGTCTTGGGGGGGGGGGGGTAATGAGGGTGTTGGCGGTATTTATCTTTTTACCGATACAAACTATTAAAAATTATCAGCAGCGGGCTCTGACACAGCCCCTCGTGGCCTTTTGTTTGACGTTCGATCATGGTTTTGGTGGCTAAGATTTGTCCCGAAACAAATTCTTTTGTTGACACCCGGCGGTGTGTTTCACGGACAAGTGGATAATCTGTGTGGTCGAGAAATATGTCAGTGAATGCAGAGAGCTTCCACAAATATCAGAAATGGCGGAGAGCATCACGGGGTGTCAGAGCGGTCACATGTTTGTGGTGTCAGATGTCAGAGACCATGTGGTGTCGCACCATGCCGGATCGTGGAAAAGAAACAAACCACGTCGCATCATGGAAAATGACATCGCACGCCCCCGCTTGCCCACCCACCCAGAAACGTCCACTCGCTTGCCCGCCCGCCCACCCCCCTACACACACATGCACGCTGCACGTCCGCCCACAAACTCAGGCGCACGTGGTCTCTGATACTTATCTTTATATAACGGATATAACAGATGGCAGATTGTGCCATGAGGTGATCGGTATCCCTATGGGCACTGACGCCAGACCGAAAATTGCCAACCTCATGCTCTATTGGGACGAGATTCATGGACAAACTTGGCCAGAGAGATCTGCGCTCTGCAAAAGCATATGCATTCACATATCGATTCATTGATGACATCCTATCATGATGACATCTCGCCGCTTGGTATGGTCTTGAGTGGAAAGACACTACTGAGCAAGATGGGTCATGTCTTTTCCTTAGGGCAAGAATGCTGCTCGGGATGCTAAGCAAATACGGCTTGAATTGTTGTAAGGATAACATGATGAAACAGTTGTATCTCAATGGTCTAGTACATTTCATGATCTCAAAGGCCCATTGTGATCCTCATCATGAACTATTTCTGTGCTGACTGCACTTCATAAATAATGATAGACGTCAAAGACCCTGTGTAATCCTCATCATGAGCTGCCTGCATGCTGACCATACTTTATCTATACCTTTTTTAAAGGAAATAGCGGGTCTCGCGTAACGTCGTAGCGAGCCCGGGCTCCCACTGTTGGGAAAATCGCCGGGGACTGCCTGGAGGCCCTGGGGGGACCACGAAACGTTTGTCCGTTGTCAATCGCTTTATTCACGGTCCAGTGCGCAGGAGTTCGAGGAAGTGCGGCCTGTGCAGGTGTGGTCCGTTTTTGTTTTCCGTTTTGTTGTGTGCGGATACCAGTGCGCAGGAGTTCGAGGGAGTGCGGCCTGCGTGGGATGCGGTCCGTTTTTGTTTTCCGTTTTGTTGTGTGCGGATATCCAGCCCGTTTTTGTTTTTCGTTTTGCTTTGTGCTCATCCTATTGATGGAAGTAGCGTGAGGCCAGCCGCGAGGTTGGAGACTTACCTGTTCTCTCTCTCTCTCTCTCTCTCTCTCTCTCTCTCTCTCTCTCTCTCTCTCTCTCTCTCTCTCT